TGAAGGCAGTCGCTTAACCAACTGAGCCACCCAGGCGCCTGAGAAATATTAGGTTTTAATCAGATCTTTTTGTCTGAATACTGACTCTTTTAAAAGGGTTTTTTTTTTTTTTTTATAATTTTGGGAGACATGGTTTTAAGTTGCTGCTGATAAGCTTCTGTACTAACTAGAAGTAGAGCAGAAACTACAAATCAAAAATCTACCTCAAAAAATTAAAAATAGAACTACATATGATCCAGCAATTCCACTTTTGGGTATATATCTGAAGGAAGTGAAATCACTATCTTAAAGAGTTATCTACATCCCCATATTCATTGCAGCATTATCTACAATGAAGACATAGAAACAACCTGAGTATCCATCAGTGGATGAATGGATAAAGGAAATGTGATACATGCACATACACTGGAATATTCAGTCATAAAAAAGAAAGAAATCATGCTCTTTACAAAAATAAAAAATGGATGGAACCTGAAGGCATTATGCTAAGTGAAAGACAAATACTGTATGATCTCACATGTGGAATCTAAAAAAAAAAAACAAACAAACCCAAAGGCCCAGAAATAGAGAACTTATGGATTAAATTGGTTTTTGGTGATTGCCCAGGGCTTCAACTTTATTTCATAAGTTTATTTCTTTGGAAAACTGTTTCCAAGCTTTATAACAAAGTATCACTGAACTTGGAGAAGATAGTCTGTGCATAAGTTGGAGACTTTGCCTATTTTGAAATGGAAAAATTCTTGTCTCAGCATTACTGAGTTAATGTACAGTTGGTACAAAGTTTTTAATTCTAATTGCTGACTTGCTTAGTGAGTGAATGATTGATCATAATCAACTGGAACGTGTAAGATAAAGCATGGTGACCTGAGTAGTTTTTCTGGTACAGTCAATTCTTTAGTGTGATAAATATTTTTATAAACAATTTTTCTGTTTCTCTTGGATAGTCAGTTTCTCTCCCTCCCTCTTTTTCAGGAGACTTACGTGAAAGGGTTGGAAGCCTTGATGTTTGAGTAGACAAGGTAACCATTCAAGTAAACTCTTCAGTATTGTGACAATTGAATGGGTTGATTTGATATCAAAAAAATTTCAGTTATTTAAAGAAGAGTGAATTATTAACTGTGTTAATAATATTTATGTCTACCATCACTGTAAGCACTTCATGTTCATTATCTGATTTAAGCCTACCAACAGTCCTGTGAGAGATACTATTACACCTGCTGTATAGACTAGGGAACTGAAGCCCAGAAACCTACGGATTTCTGCTGTCGACACCATGCATTTGACAAGAGTTGTGATAGCGTGAAAGTAATGTTACTTCTTTCTTGCTCTTTTTTCCCCCCCTCAAACTCATCTGTTCTCGTTATTTTTTCCTTTGTGGGACAATTTTGTGGGACTTCTTTGCTTCCAGAGATCAGATTTAGTTGTTGAGATGGGTTTTCTGCACTCTTTCCCCATCTTCCGTGTTCTTTTTTTTTTTTAAAGATTATTTATTTATTTATTTGACAGAGAGAGACACAGTGAGAGAGGGAACACAAGCAGGGGGAGTGGGAGAGGGAGAAGCAGGCCTCCCGCTGAGCAGGGAGCCCGATGCGGGGCTCGATCCCAGGACCCCGAGACCATGACCTGAGCAGAAGGCAGACGCTTAACGACTGAGCCACCCAGGCGCCCCCCGTATTCTTTTATGTACACTGTTTTCAAGGTTATACAGTTCAGCAGGTTAAGTAGTTTGTCAGTGATTGTTCAAACAGGGATTCTCAGTCCCCACCCTCATTCCCCCTTCTCAGAGGTGACTGTTCTGGACTCTCTCTGCTGTTTGGAATTTACCTGTGGTTTCTCAAGTAATATATTTGAATTGATGTCACCTGAGTTTTCAGTTTAGGGCATAACTTGTTTATATGATTTTCTGTGTCCCTATCACTAACTGAACTCAGGAGTCTCTATCAATTGCCCAAAGTTCCTGTTTTCTGTCACATCATTTATTCTGTTAATGTCATTATCTTGAAGAAATCCCTCCCAGGGCAAAGTGCTGTGGTACTGAGTAGCTTCTGCTTTCCCAGAGTGTCCAGCTCTCATTCTAGGGGCTCTCTCTTCCTCTGTGTTGGATCTTCTATTTCCTCTCTCCTGTGTTGTCTTCTTTCTTGGTTCACTCCCTCATTTTGCTCCTCTAGAGCCTCTCCTGTGCAGATATTGAATTATCTTGACTGGACCTCTAATTTCCTTGTTTTTTTCTTATTATCATGTTTTATTCTCTATTCTTTCTGATAAATATCCCTATGTTTAATTTCCAAGGTCTCTCTTTTTTAAAAAAGATTTTATTTATTTATTTGAGAGAGACAGAAAGTGCACAAGCAGGGGCAGAGGCAGAGAGAGAGGGAGAAGCAGATGGGGCTTGATCCCAGGACTCTGGGATTATGACCTGAGCTGAAGGCAGACACTTAACCGACTGAGCCACCCAGGCACCCAAATTTTCAAGGTCTCTTTTAAAAAGCATTGTATTTTCTTTGTCATGGATGTACTCTTACCTCTCCAATGATATTGATGATTGGGTTAAATTTTTTTTTTAATTTAAAAGTTCCTTCCGATGGGGTGCCTGGCTGGCTCAGTCACAGGAGTGTGCGACTCTTGATCTCCGGGTCATGAGTTTGAGCCCCACGTTGGGTGTAGAGATTACTTAAAAATAAATTAAAAAAAAAAAATTTCTTCTGTTAACATTGTCTGTGATTCCTCTGAGTTCTTCTTTTTTTTGTCTTTTTCTCTGATGAGTAGTGATCCTGAGCTATGAAAGGTGTGGTCCTAAAAGTTGATTAGAAGCTTTGAGTTCATCACTGGTACTTGTGGACTGTGAGTTCACTGTCGGGTGACCTGGCTTTGCCATCTATTGGGGAGCACTTGATAACTCTTTCTGATTTCTTTCCCCTTTCTGAAAAGAAAAGTCTTTTAATCTCCTGCCTGGTGGGTGAAAATTTATAGCCGGTTCTCTGGGAGCTGAGTAAGGGAGAAAGGCTGAGGATTTCAGCATTCAGTATATATATGTGTTTACTTAATCCCCTGATTTCATTAAGATCTTCTCCCCACAGTGCTCTGTTCCCTTTGTTCAGAAATCCTCTTCCGAGAATAACGCTCTAGAATTTTGCCTTGGTGGAAGAGGCAGAGTTAACCCAAGCACATGAAATTTAGGAAGGCATGGAGAAATTAAGCCGTTTCTTAAAGAGCTTTCAACCAACCTGCCTTATTTGGTGTTCCCTTCACCTCTGTTTCCAGAGGAACCATCTGTTACCGATTCCTGGGCCTTTTGAGAATTCTGTGGACTAAGTCAGGTTGATTTTTGGCTTTCCACCTTCCTAGTTTAAGATTCAGCTTTCCTGGATCTGCTACTAGTTACCACTGTTCTATCTGCTTGCCAGCCTGCAAACTTTTGTTTATGCCTTAAAAATACCTCATTAGCATTTTAGCTCAGTTTTGGGAAGGAGTGAAATTAAATATGTATGTTCAATCTTTCCATCTTCCCAGAAACTGCTAGGTTTTTTTCATTTGCTTAAGCATTTATGTATCTATTCATTTTTTTATTGTGGCAAAATACACAAAGTTTTTAACCATTTTAAAGTGTGCAGTTCAATAGCATAAAGGTACATACATGATGTTGTGTACCCATCACCACTGTCTGGTTCCAGAACTTTTTCATCACTCCCAAAAGGAACCCCATACCCATTAAGCAGTCATTCCCTACTCCTCCCTCCCTTTCCCCAGCCCTTGGCAACCACTAATCTGCTTTCTGTCTCTGTGGATTTGCCATATCTGGTGAGACTTTTTTTAGACAGGGTAATCAGGCAAGGCTTCTTTGGAGAGAGTATATTTGAGCAGAAACCTTAATGCCCCGGGGTGTGTGTGTGTGGGGTGAACCATCAGAAGTGTTGGGGAATGAATCCTGCTGTTTCTTTAGATGTACAAAGTTACAAAGTTTTATTATTGTCACCCTGAAAACCAACAGAAGCCAAATAAGAATCATAGTTTTAAAAACCCATCAGCGAGTGAAGATACAAGGAAACCTAAATGAAACAACCTCCAGAAAGTAATGAAAGCTTCGCAGTAGAGAAGAGACCCATGGCTGCTCTGGGGTAGAACGGCCCAAGGAAGAGGAACCTGCCACAGATGGGGGGAAAGGAGAAACCTGCCACACTTCGGGCTGGCCTGCTGTGGCCCCATCCAGGAGGGGTGGTATGACAGGCTAGAACCCCGAGACGCCCCAGTTGCTCCTGCACCAAAGAGCCAGTCCACTCCAGCTCTCGCCCACGGGTCTTCAGTGAGCGCTCAGGGGTGATACGCCTCAGGCTTTCAGTTATGGAAGGCTGAAGGTGGGGAAAGAGCTGGAGTTGACCTCCGCCCCACCCCCACACTTTGCAACTCTGGGCTTTCAATTCCTGAGGACTGAACACAGGGCAGGAGAGGTGAGAGAAACTCCTCTAATTCATTCCAGGTCTTCCCACAACGTAGGAGGCTGCCCTCCGACAGGAAGGCTGAGGAGGAACAGGCTTGAGAGAGGTCACCTGGGCTGCAGAAAGCAAGGTGTGGGACCGGAAAGCAAAGAGAATCCCTAGCAAATGAAAAACCTGCAGTCATGCTTAAAGCAGAGAGAGAGCTCCCATTTTCTTTTCTTTTTTCAAAATATACTTTATTTTTTGGAATAATTTTAGTTTTTTAAAGATTTATTGATTTATTTGGGAGAGAGAGTGCAAGTGAGCACAAGGGGGTAGGGGAGGGGCAGAGGGAGAGGGGGAGAGAGAATCTCAAGTAGACTCCTTTCTGATCGCGGAGCCCATGGGATAGTTTTAGTTTTATAGAAGAATTGCAAAGGTAGTACAGAAAGTTCCCTATGCCCCACACTGAGTTTCCCCTATTATGAACACCTGTAGTAGTGTGGTATATTAATTATAAGTAATGAGCTAATATTGATATGTTATTTTTAACTAATGTCCACACTTTATTCACATATTCTTTGATTTTACCTAATGTCCTTTTTCTGTTCCAAGATCCCATTCAGGGTTCCACATTTCATTTAGTTGTCATGTCTCTTTTCGCTCCTCTGGGCTGTGGCAATTTCTCGGACTTCCCTTGTTTTTGATGACCTTGACAGTTTTGAGGAGTATTGTTGAGGTGTTTTGTAGAATGTCCCTCTATTAGTATTTGTCTCATATTTTTCTCATGACTGGGGTGGGGTTTTAGGTTTGGGGAGGAAGACCACAGAGGCTAATTGCCATTTTCATCACAACATGTTAAGGGTACATGATTTATCAGTGTTGAATTTGAACTTGATCACCTGGTTGAGGTAGTGTTTTTCAAGTTTCTCCACTGTAAAGTTACTCTCTTTTTCTCTCTTTCCATACTGCAGTCTGTGGCAGGAAGTCACTTATTCAAAGCCCACACTTAAGAAGTGGATAGTTATGCTCTCTGTCCTTAAGGGTGGAGCATCTTTGTAAATTATTTGGAATTCTCCTGTGTAGGAAATTTGTCTCTTTTCCCTCATTTATTTAGTTAGTCAATCATTTTCCTTAACGGTATGGACTCATGGATATTTATTTTATTCTTGAGGTTATAATCCAATTACTACTTTATTTTGTTGGTGAAATTGTTCCACCTTTGACCATTGGGAGCTCTTTCAATTGGCTCTTATGTCTCTTTGATATAACCCCATCAATGTGTGTATATGTGAGAGAGAGAGAGAGAGCACTTTCTTACTTTTGGCACTATGTGATGCTCCAGGTTTATTTGTATATTTCCTGCCACGGTCCTTCAGTCAGCCATTTCTCCAAGGAGCCCTGGTACCTTTTATTAGAGAATGGGGAAACCAAGATTGAGGTGTTAGATGTGCTTGTTGCTCCTGGGGTGTTGTGCTTGTAGGCCCTCTCAGCTGACAGAGCCAGGAAATATATGTGCATTTACTAATCTGTATATATACGCATATCTATAAATATTTCTATGTATACCCATCTATATCTATATTAAGCTAAATATGAGTTCATAC